GGCCAAGTGCAACATGTAACAAGCTCTACACCCTGTGAGCCAGTAATCCCACCCTGGGGAACAGAGCCTTGGAAATAACTCTCAAGAGGGAAAGAGTGATGAGTACAGAGCTATTCTCTGTACAAATAGCAGGGGCATCGTAACAGCCAAAATATACAACCGAGGCCACTGCCCCCGAGGAGGGAAGAGCTAAGAGAACCACTCTCTTGATAGGAAAAGGGAACGGGGGAGAAATGACAAGATCAGAGGCTTGTCTAACCGGGGATGTGGGCCCAAGAACCTGCAGGAAAAAAGCCGGGTCCACACAAGCTACACGTGCCAGTGACCTGATGTCACCAAGGGCCTGTGAACGCCACAGTCCTGAAAAATGATATTGTAGAAACCAGCCAGAAACAATACCTGGGGGCCAATGAGAAAATCCGACTATGGCCAAATTAAACACCATTAAGGTATTACTGTTCATTTTATTAGGTGTGGTCGTAGAATCTTTATTATATGGGAAAATCTACTTCAAAAAAAAAAGAGAGAGCGATAAATACTGAAATGTCAGCATGCCTACAATTTAGTTTAAAATGGTTTAGCCAAGGGGCGCCTGGGTGGCTCTGTCGGCTAAGCATCCGACTCTTGATTTTGGCTCGGGTCGTGATCTCATGGTTCACGCGTCAGGTTCCGTGCTGAGCATGCAGCCTGCTTAATAGTGTCTCTCTCTCTCTCTCTCTCTCTCTCTCTCTCTGTCTCCACCCTCCCCCACTCACTCACTCTCTCTCTCTCTCTCAAAATAAATACACGTTAAAAAAAGAGTTCAGGGGCGCCTGGGTGGTGCAGTCGGTTAAGCGTCCGACTTCAGCCAGGTCCGTGAGTTCGAGCCCCGCGTCGGGCTCTGGGCTGATGGCTCGGAGCCTGGAGCCTGTTTCCGATTCTGTGTCTCCCTCTCTCTCTGTCCCTCCCCCGTTCATGCTCTGTCTCTCTCTGTCCCAAAAATAAGTAAACGTTGAAAAAAAAATTTTTTTTAAAGTAAAACCATTAATTCATGCCACAGAAGCATGTTTGCAGACACGTTATATTGTTAGATGATAAAAAACCAGGTTGTCACATGCATACGTCTGTATAATATATATAATGCTATCCCGGTTTTCTTAAAACTCACACACAGATAAAGGTCTAAGAGGGGGTAAATCAAAATGTTACGGAGGTCGTCTCTAGAATGAGACCACAGGTTATCCAGATCGAAGCATAGCAAGTCTGTGGGATTAGAGGCTGCAGACTGGCTAATGTTTCCATGTTCCTTGGGCTTTTAAGGCAGTTTAGATTCCTGATTTAAAAACACAAAGCCAATGTCATTTTGAGATGGTCCGTGTCATCAGCGACCTTCCTGAGCCGGTTGGGGCCATCCTGGCAGGGACCTGGAGGCATTAAGGGAGGGGGACTTCCAGATGGGCAGTGGCCCCTGAAAGGGCCTGGGGGAGGAGGGCATGACCCTGGCTGCATTTCTCAGCCTCCTTCCCGTCTAAGATCCACAGGCTGTTTCTGGGTGACCGCCCAAATGGGGTGCCAGGTGCCAGTGTGGGCAGCAGGGCCTGGGTGACGGCAGCTGGCTGGCACGCTCCCCCACAGATGGAGACACCCTGGGGAGAAACCCTAGAGGGAAAAATCCGGAGGGAGTGGGGAAGGGAGATGGGGAAGGGCCGGAAAGGACAGACCTGTGACAAGAATCTGGGCCTTTGCTCGTCCGGTCCCAGCCCGGCTGACTGCCGTGCACTCATACGTCCCTTCCTCGGTCTTAGAAGCCCGTGGGATCTCCCAGCTGCTGTTTCCCGACACCCTGTGAACACAGAGCAGCTGGAGACACACAATAACACTGACCCCCGCCAGGGCCCCCCAGCCTTGTCCCGCCCCGGAACCCTGCCCAGAGGGGACAAATCCTCTTGGAGACTTGGTAAGGAGGGGCAAGGCAGCCGAGGACGTGCCAAGTCTACAACATGCTGCGTGACTCTGAGCGAGTCCCTTTCCCTCTCTGAGCTCTGGGCTTTCATCCACGACGGGGAGGGTCTCGGAGGGTCCTTCCCACCCTGACCCCACGGGCCCGGGCCCTGCGTGGGAATGTTCTGGAAGCTCAGCAAGCCCACAGCTCCTCCACAGGGTGACGATCCAGCGGTGGTGGGACATCTGGGGGCCACCCTCCCCCCATCCCTGGCCGTGCTGGGAGATGCCCAGGACACTATGACCGAGATCAAGGTCCTTCTCTTGCCACCCACATCCCTAGGACCCCTGGGGCTGGGGACACAGAGCAGACAGCACCCACTCACTGAAAGTGCCTCTCCTCGCCCAGCCTGGCTCCGTTCCGCCGCAGCTGTAGCCTGAAGGGGAGGGTGCTGTGTACAGAGCAGGAGACCAGCAGGGGCTGGTCCAGGTAACCATGGATCCTAGGGGGCATGCTGACCACGGGGGCACCTGTAGGCAAGGTCTGGCGCTCAGGATTCCTCCCCACCCGCCCTGCCACAGCCTGCCAACGCAGAGACCACAGGGATGAGCCAGGAGGCCAGGATTCAACCCACAGCCCCACCATTTGGGGGTCACCAAGAGCGGGGTCACCTTACCCCTGTAAGCTCAGTTCCCACCTCTGTAAAATGGGCTTAATCCTGACACCGACGTCACCACGCTCTCTGGGGAGCTGGTGAGAGGTGGTGCATGGAAAGCACTTGGCATGTCCACAAGGCACGGCAGGCCCCCTCAGGACGAGCCGGCATTATTTCTACGGTTTCTAAGAAGACCAGCCAAGACGGACGTGGTCTGTGCAACCACCTTCTCCACTGTCCTGGACGTAGATGTTGCACCAGCCCTGAGAAGCCTGATAAAATGCTCCCCGGACCGGGCTCTTCAAGCTTCCAGACCTCTCATCCGCCTGGAGGGTCGGTTTTACCCGAGGATGTTGGAAGAAAGCCTTTTTCATTTAAAAATAAGCGAAGCTGAAGCATGGCTGTGAATGCAAAGTTCACACGCATTTTTGAGATAAGAGACTTCAGTGAAATCCCACAGTTTGTGATGAGCCCCGTGGGGCCCCTGAGAGACACTCCCCCCCCCCACCACCCCCACCGCCTGACCCTGGTCCTGGGATGACACATTCTCTTTCCTTGGCCATTAGAATCACTCCACTGGGAAAGTCTGAGAACGCCCCCCGGGGGGTCAGTCACAGCTGTCAGTGCCTCACTGGGTGATCGCGGGCGTGTGCTCAACTCTTGTCCTGCCCTCCCCCGCATCCCCACCAGAGATGCTCCTTGGGTGAGACAATGCACCAGACGTCCTCCGAGCCCAGAGCTGGGGGTGGGAGGGCAGCAGGTGACATCATGCTACAGGCTCCCTGCCACATCCCAGGGGAGAGGGATGTCAGACCAACTAGCCACGTCCTCAGCTGTGTGCAAAGCAGCCACCGCTCACCCCCACACACTGGAATCCTCGGCAAGGCCAGCCCAGGCTCTGTCTTCCATGAGCTGAATGGGCCCAGGGACCATGGCCCAGTCCTCACTACCTGCTCCAAACCCAGAGCCTCCTGCTCTAATCCCAACTCCCAGCCTCCCGACCCATCAAGTGGGGAAGGAAGCAAAACACCAAACCACCTCCCTTCTCCCTGCCCTGCCAACACACACATACTCTCTCTTTCTCTCTCTATCTCTCTCTCTCTAATCTAGTGCTGAGATGAAGACCAAAATCCAGAGAGAAATCCAAACTCTTCGATTCATCTGCAAGAACAGGACAGAGAGAAACAGGCTATTATTGCCCCTGCTGAAACTCCCTCCTGAAAATTCCTCCTTGGAGTTATAAAAGCCAAGGGAGGAGGGGCCCAGGGACCACAGCAGGGGGGTGGAGGTCAGGAGGCTGAGAGACGGGGTCCCCAACCTCCCTACCCTGCCCTAACCTACCCTACTCGGATCCTCAAAGTCCCCCACCTCACCCTAGTGCCCTCTCTGCATCCCTATTTGTAGTAGACAGAGGAGTCTGGCCCTTGTTAAGAGATCCCCAGCAAAGAAGATGTTGGATATCAGTGACATCCACCTCTGTGAGCTCCCCGCCCAGGCCACTGCCACGGAAAAGCGGGGAGTGGGCAGGAGGAGGGAACAAAGCCCAGGAAGGAAGCTGATGGCCAGTGAACTCAGATACCCCATGCTAGGACCAGAGGCAGAGCTAGAAAGCCAAAGCCTCAGCCCTGCCCTCTGGGAGCTTCTCAGCCGCATGCGAGACCTCGGGGACACAAGGAAACAAGCAAAAAGACATACATGTAGGAACCAACACAACATGACCAAAGATAGGACCACAAAATGACCTGTGCCTACAAAGACATAACACTAACAGTAGCTGCCGCTCTGGAGGGCCCAAGTCCACAATGCCCACATCATGGGCACGGCCTCAGAGCACCCAAGAGCTGTCTTGTGATGTGTATTAACTTATGGAACCCTCAGGGCAACCCTGTGAGATGGGTAGCCTCAGCTTCTCCATCTATAAGATGGGGACGCATCTCAGAAGCACTCAATGAGCTAACGTATGGCAGGTGCTTGGTTCAGGATGATCTCATGAGAGGTGCTCAAAATGGTCACTAGCTGAGTATTCCCATGATTAGGATTATGGAAGAGCAGGCCCATACTCGCTGCCCTGCCCACTGCTGTGTCTACAACGCCTAGCACCAGGACTGACACAGAATGCATGTTGGATAGACATTTGGATGGATGCACGCATGCATGAGTGGATGGGTGGATGGATATCTGGATGGATGGATGCATGGATGAGTGGGTGGATGCATGGATAGGCAGATGAATGGATGGATGTTTGGGTCAACGAAGGGTGGGTGGAGAGACGAATGCGTGAGTGGAGGCAGGGGTAGATGGGCAGACGGATGGCTTTGTACTAAATCCTCGACTGACTGTTCCATCTGAACCATCCCAGTATTTAGCATAACGCATCGCAGAGTTTCCTGCTCATAGAAGTTTAATTTTCTAATATCACGCCATCAGGGAAGGCTTCCGGGAAGAAGTGAGTCTCCAAGTGAGCCGGGGCGCTGGGGGTGCCGAGCACTACTCACTCACCTGGGACCACCCCACTGTAGGAAACTCCAGAGACACGGAGAAGGGGATTCCCCTCGTGGTCTTTGCCCTTCACCTTGAGGTAGAAGCGCTCCTGGGGGGCGTGGAAGGGCGGTCCGCCCCAGAGCTGATGGGCGGAGCCATTGGAGAGGGGCTGCATGGGCAAAGTCAGGAGGGGCTGCCCCGAGCTGCGTGAGAGCTCCACGGAGTCCAGGTGGCCGGGTGCCTGCAGGCCCGTGGAGTTGATGACCAGGGAGATGGGCACCCCTGCGGAGGGAAGGGTGAGGAAGAAGATGCCGGCTCCGTGATCCTCCCCAAGCAGGGGCCCTCAGACCATAGTCAGGGACCCAGCTTGCTTGGCCCTCCTCGCGGCCCCTCACCTCTTTGCTGTGCCAACTAATGCTGGGGGGTGGATAAGCAGAGGGGGCCTGCTACTGTCCGTGGTCCTGAAACGCCACTGTCCACCCACACCACAGCTTCCCACGGCTGCATCACCTCCACTCTGCAGACTCGGGCTCTCCTGGAGTAGAACTGGGAGGGGGCATTTCTCTCCACCACCACCCTCCCCCCGTTAACTCTGGCGTGGGCTGTCATCGGGCAGGCTCTGGGACCAGCCAAGGTGAGACACACGCTAGTTTGGGAACGCTGACTCCTGCCTATCCTCTCTCTCCCCCCACGGTCCACTTTCCTTTGATTTTCTTTTCTGTCTTATTAGCCCCGGGCTTTTCACCCTGTTCCAGAAAAGACAGAGCTGGAGCTGGGTTTCTGAATTCCCTTAGTTGATTTGGGAACTTCGCTCGGGTCTTTCCCTTTTCAGGCAGTGATTACTGTGTTTCTTCACAGAGATCACAAACCAGGGAACAGAGGGTGTGGTTGGATAAAAATCTGAACGCCTTAACATTTTTGAAGAAGCGTGGAGAACAATCTGGAAAGGGCACATCAAAACCTGGAAGTCCGGATTCCTTGGAAAAATAACGTGTGTCGGCGCTGGGCTCCATTCACATGTGGCAACAATCGGCCAACGGCAGGTAGCTGCTGTCCTCTGTATTTGGGCAGTTGCTGTCCAGCTATAGCCACGGCCTCCAGACTCCCGGGTGCCCCAGCACTGAAGCCAAGTGCCAATCACTTCTCATTTGCAATCGCCCTGCTGTTTCTCTCTCCCTTTTTTTTTAAAACTGTCTTGGAAACCACATCTTTATCAAAAGCAGAAACCCAAGAAGGTCCCAAAAAGGTCCCAAGAAGGTCCCCTGCACTCTCTTCCACTGGGGACTGGTCCTGGCGACCCTTCAGTTCTCAACCCCCACTCGCGCGCTGCATTTAGGAGTTCTTTTCTCTCCTGGCTCCGAACGGGAACCAAGCTTCCCTGCCTCCCCACGTCCTGACGCTGGGAAAAACAAACGTGAAATGAGCAAGCAGCCCCCTTTCGCTTTGGAGATGGTCCTCGCACAGAACCAACAAGGGTTGACAACGATGACAAAAGTTAGAGCAAACACACGCTCAAAAGCTCTAAGGATCTTGTATGCACCGTGTTGGTCATTGGTCAGTGGTCCGAGTTGACCTGACCTGGTCTAGATCCCTCCCCTTCTCTCTTCTGAGCTGGTCCCAGCAAAGTCCTCTGATGGCCCCACGGTGAGGGACCATACTTCCCAAACTATACGCTGGGACCCCTGATCTGGCCACCAGACGGTACTTTCTGGCATGGAGCTCTGACAACCCGAGCCAAGAGCCCCTGCCTGCTCTGGAGCCCTCCTCCCCCAGATGGAACCATGATGGGACACACAGGCAACCCCAGATCCCAGGGGGTGGCTTCTCATCAGAAAACCGACCCTGTGCCTCCAACTCCAACATCCCCCTGGGCTCTCAACCTCCATCAGCCTCCGGAATATCGGAATGTCCATCAGGACATTCATTCCTCTGGAGTAAGATACTGTTCTCTTCTTCAAGTAAGCTAACAACGGACTAGCACCTGTTAGTTTGTCGGACTAGCCTGCTGTTCCGTGGAAAACCGAAGAAGCTCTAGACGGACAAGTTTGGACAAAGGAAAAAGAGAAAGTGTGGACTGAGTACTAAGGGGGACAGCCAAAGGTCCTGGGGGCCTTTGGGGGCAGGGAGTGTGTTCTAAAGGTAAATGGTCACGGCGTTACCTGGGTGGGGGCCAGTGGAGAGGGTGCTGGCCCTGGGCTCGGTTCACTGTGGTCTGAGAGAATGGCTCAAGCCAGCCTCTTCCGGGTACATTGCAGTCACACACTCATAGCCTGCCCCCCAAGGCTCCCCGATTCCCAAAGGCAAGCCCCGCCTCTTCAGAAGGCAGATCTGCATCATCCCCAGGGTCCGGAGCACCATACCTTGTAGGGGCCACTCAATGGTGTGGTTGAGGTCCAGAGAGGGCTGGGTGGAGAAGCCGGCTCGGAAGTCGATGTTGCTGACGCCTGTGATCCTCACCGAATGGCGACCGCTGCTATAGACCTAGCACAGGCCCCGGCCCACGTCACCAGGGCATCCGCCTCCGGTGCCCCAGCACCGGGACAGACACGTGGGCAACTTACCTACTCCCTGGGGGCCCAGCACGACACTCCCCAAATGAAGCAGAAGAAGCCTCAGCTACGGTAGTGTCCTTAGTGGGACCCCTGAGGCTGTTCTGCCCTTCTGGCCTCCCCCCCACCCAACACCTGCAGCTCTGTCTGTCCCCCTACAGGTCTAAGCCCTGCCTTGCCTTCCCCACTGGCATCAGAGCTCTTGGCTCAAAGCCACTCAGAGTTTGAAGGGCAGGAGTCAATGCTACCCCCTCCCCTGCAGCACCCACGCCCAGCCCAGGGCCTGGAGCCTAGCAGGTGCTTCACAAACGTTTGTCCAATCAGCAGGAGCTCACATCCCTCCAAAGCAGCAGCCTCCCCCATGCCAGGACACTCTGCTGGGGGCCCAGCCTACCCCAAGTCCCTGGCCTCCAGCACCTTGCAGATTAGAGTGGGCCCTGCTCCCCCTGCCAGCCCTTGTCCCTCTGAGCCATCCTTCCCCCCAAGGTCACCCTTGCTTCTGTTGTTCATTCTTCACAGGATAGGTTCTGAACCTCAAGCTGGCTCAGCCACCCACCTCTGGACCCTCAAATCACTTCTCCAACTTTCTTAAAAGTTCCCTAACTAACCCCAAACCGCTCTACTTCCTCTCACTGGTGCAAAGCAGAATACTCCTCCTCTGTTCTGGACCCTTTGCTTCTACTGATACGCCCACCTCGCCACCCATGTTCCAGCCCCCAGCCTCCCAGGGCCCCAGGGCTCTCGGGACAGGCAGGAGGGAGACAGTGTCTCAGCTCGGTGAAACTGGTCCCCTCCCTGGGAACCAGGGCCCCGTACCTTGATGGACCACAGCCCAGGATGCTCAGGCTTAAACGCCACAACCTTGGCAGAGTCAGGGATGCTGAGGAGCACGTTGAGGCCCTCGTCCTTCTGCAGGATCCTCCCTGTGGAACGCCCAAGGGTTTCTGTCCCCACATCTTTCCTGACTGTGACAGAGGCCCCATTCTGCCAGGAACCCATGGTCTTTCCAACCACCAGCCTCAGCCTTCCCAGAGAAAGTGACAAAGGCCTTAGGCGGTGCTCGGGCCTTTGCCCCATTCTACACTCCAGCCTCATCCACCCCCGGGTGTGGGCCATACACCTGGCCTCCAGACCTGGGGACCCAGGACATCCTCGGAGCTCCATGAGGCCAGATAGCTGGGTCCAAATCACACCGACCCTGGGTGACCTGGACAAATCACTCCACCTCCCAGAGTCCCAGCTTCCCATCTCGGTGGCATGCCACCAATTCTTGCCCCGACTGGTCTGCTAGCCCACCGTAGGGACCCGCTGAGAGAATACAGGTAAGACTCCGCGTGAACCTTGCATCCCAGGGATCGTCATTACTCTTGGAGAGAGAGAGAGACTGAGAGAAAGAGAGCCCAAGCACGTGACAGAGGGCGCACTCAGGAGAGGGGCAGATGGAGAGACAGAGAGAATGTGAAGCTGAACGCGGAGCCCCATGTGGGGCTCGATCTCACAGCCGTGAGATGGTGACCTGAGTGAAATCCAGAGTCCGATGCTTAAGGGACTGAGCCACGCAGGTGCCCCCAGGACTGTCGTTGTTTTAATTCCCCTCCCTTGGCTGCTAACAGCCTCCCTGCTTCCTCACTCACCATGGGCACCCCCTCTGCCCTCCACTTGCCACCCCCCCCACCCTCCTTATTCCCAGAGCCTTGTGTCCAAACCCACTGCCACCCGGGGTCTCTCTCTTTGTCCCACCCCGGACTCCCAGCTCAGTCTTGGGGCCAAAGCAGAGGCCGGCCAGTCCTAGGGTGCACATACCCAGTGGGTCGCGGACTTCGATCTTGGGACCCGGACCGCTCAGGGAGATGGTGACCTCCTTCAGGCTGGGGTCAAAGGGAATCCTCCACGTGTGCTCGCCCTCCTCCTTGTGGTCCGTGGACAGCAGGTGCACCTTGGAGGCCTGGATCGCTGACTCTACCCACTTCAGCACCTGGGAGGCAGGTTATGAGAAGCTGATGCCAGCAGAGGTGCCTGTGGTCCCGCTTGTGTCTGACCCACTGGAGGCAGGTCTCTGACAGGTCGCCAGCAGAATCCAGTCCCCCACCCTGGGTTTTAGGCAGCGTATAGGCCTTCCAGGTCACCCAGTCCCCCCACACTCCCACCGCTCTACAAGAGGCCCAGTTCACACATCATTACCCTCCTGGCCTGAACTGAGGCAGCTCAGAGGGAATGGCCAATTTCTATGGCACCCACCACTTCCTCCAGGAAGCCTTCCTGATGCCTCCTACCCACAGATGAACCCTGGAGATCCGGAATCTCCCCCAGAGCAATGTAATTCACTGTCACCCCTCAAGGGGCCTCAGGCCACATTCCTGCCAGGGTAGCACACTCTCTAAGCAGGACCGAGAGGGTCTGCTGCCAAGATGGAGTCTCCTCCTGATTCATTTCACAACATTGAGAAATCCTAAGTCCCTGGTTTCTAGAAGTGCTTATTCATTCTAAAATCTTAAGTGTTTTGGACAGGTCCCATTGAAAAGCAGGCAACAGGCGAGGACTCCCCCACCCAGGTACACATTTAAAGTATGATTTTGGTGGGCAGGGGGGTTGCACAGACCCCATGTCAGCAACCCCGGATCCAGTCTAAGTTATCTCACAGAGCACAAAATTGTTGAGTTTCTCCAAATCCTGACCACGATCTTCAAGCCCCCGTGTCCTGTCCTAGGATTTAGGTAGCTGTCCAACCCGACTCAAGGTCAGCGTGCCCCTGACTCTCCCCACGCTTATAGGGTTGAACCCCCGGGCCTCCCTAGGCAGCTCCCCCCACACACACTGTTCTCTGACAGAAATGACCTGCCCCTTCTTTATCAACCCACTCCTGGCTACATTCATGCCTGTCTCCCCTCTTGGCCTGGGAGCCCCAGGAGGGCAGAGACCCTCCGCCGTGCCCCGAGCTCAACGTCTGGCACAGACAGGGTACTCAGGAAGCATGTGCTCACTGTGTGTGGTCTGACAGGGCACACACCTCCTGACCAGGGCCACCAGATTTCACCTGGCAGTCACCTGACTCAGCTCCATCCCGGTCCCTGCCTTTGTAGCAGCCACATCCCACAGTTTCCAGTAAGAAAACCAGGCAAGAGGACTCGGAGGGGGCCTCCCCCGCCCACCCCCCCACCCCCCCGCCGGCCCCGGGCCAAGTGACTTTAAGGTTTTCACGGGATGCTTCTTGAACTAAACAAAATGAAACAGGAACCTCACTGTCCAACAAATTAGCACCATAAGCGCAGAGAGAAAAGAGCTCCCATTGGCTAAATCTGGGGCAACTTGAACCCCTAAAAGAATAATGACTTTAATCAACTGAAACACATTGAACTCTAGAATCTGTGTCCCCCGGGGCGCCCGGGTGGCTCATTCGGTTCAGCGTCTGCCTCGTGATTTTCGGCTCAGTTCATGATCTCACAGTTCGTGAGATCGAGCCCCGTGTTGGGCTCTGCACGGACATCGTGGAGTCGGCTTGGGATTCGCTCTCTCTTCCTCTCTCTCTGCCCCTCCCCAACTTGTGCACGCTCACGCTCTCTCTCTCTCTCTCCCAAAATAAATAAACTTTAAAGAATCCGTGTGCCCATAATACTCAAAGAAAAGCGAAATTCAAAACAATAAAACCTCATTTGCCACCAGTGAAAGCAACCTGCTAATTAAATAGAAAGAACTAAGTGCGATCCCTGCCTTTTCCATAGGCACTGTGCCTCAAAAAACCAAGCCATCCCTTTGGAGAAGCCAAAGCTCTTTTTTCAGGGAAGAACGCCCACTAATGAATGTGAAAGAGATGAGGCAATGAGGAAATCATCATTTTGCAACCCCTAATGAAATCATTGTTTCAGGCAAGCATCCTCCACGGACGCCACAACCATTAGATGGAAGGCGGGTGGGGAACTGGACGACCATGTGGAGCCCCAGCATTTACCCCACAGACCGCTTGAGTCATAAGGGGAAAAATGCGGCCCTACAATGCACCGAGAGCTGGCTGTCACCACCTTCACCAGGAATCAAACTATCATCAGGAAGAGCGGGACAATCAGACATTATTTACCTCCCGGGGCAATGCAACAGAAAATACACACAGCACCAACCGTGAAATATTCCTGTCAGAAATGCTGGCTTCCATTAATCAGCCACTGAGAGCTAACTGCCAGGTTAGGGAATACGGGGGGTGAGGGAACAAATTAATGACACCATAAGGAAACAATCAGATGAATCCGTAACACGGGATACTGTACAGCCGATGCCTCTCCAGCAAGTTAGTGGCATTAAAAAAAGGGTAGACTGTTCCAGATGGAAGCGGACGTTAACAGCCACAACAAGTGAATGAAATGCACAGCCCCTGATTAAATCCCGATTTGACAAAACGTGTTACCGAAGACATTTTGAGGACAATTGGGGAAACTGAATATGAACTTGGCATCGGACGATACCAGCAGAATACTATTCATTTTATTAGAGGGTATCGTGGGCTGTGTCCAAGATCATATATATTTTTTTTTAAAAAACCCACACATGACTATTTACGGGTAAGGTGTCACGATTCAACAAAAGGCATAGAAAGAGACAGATAAAGCAGGCGGGGTAAACATGTTAGGTGCTGAATCTAATTGGGACATAGGTTCTTTTTTGTTTGTTTCAAGTTTTGATTTAAATTCTGGTTCGTTAGGGGCGCCTGGGTGGCTCAGTCGGTTGAGCGTCCGACTTCGGCTCAGGTCACGATCTCGCGGTCCACGAGTTCGAGCCCCGCGTCGGGCTCTGGGCTGATGGCTCAAGAGCCTGGAGCCTGCTTCCGATTCTGTGTCTCGCTCTCTCTCTGCCCCTCCCCCATTCATGCTCTGTCTCTCTCTGTCTCAAAAATAAATAAACGTTAAAAAAAATTTTAAATAAATAAATAAATTCTGGCTCGTTAACACATCGTGCAACACTGGTTGCAGGAACAGAAGTTAGTGATTCATCACTCACGTACAACACCCAGTGCTCCTCCCCACAAGTGTCCTCCCCAGTCCCCATCCCCCATTTAGCCCCTCCCCCACCCACCTCCCTCCACCAACCCTCAGTTTGTTCTCCACAGTTAAGAGTCTGTCTTCTGGTTTGCCTCCCTCCCTCTTCGTTTTTCTTCCTTCTCCTATCTTCTTCTGACTTTTCTTTATCTTTAACATCTTTCATGATCATATTTTTTTTTTTTTAAAGAAAAAGTCCTTGAAAAAGAACAAGTACGCCATGACTTGAATATATACCCCTAGGCAACCACAGGGGTACCCTGGCGCTCGCCAATTCTGATCCATCTAATCAAACCTGATCAATCGCCAATCAAATCTAACCTGGAAGTAGCTTCCTGGGATACTGTCTGACAAAAGTCGAAACCGCATTCAGCTTCAGTGAGAAGACGTTCTGTGACTGGTGAGTCATGTCTGCTGGGATACGGGGTCCGAAAGCGGGCCTCGTGTGCTACATGTCGGCCAACCTTGCTCCGCATCAGAGTCCTACTGTGCGATCGCCGGCGAGAGAGAAAAGGGAAAGAAGGGAATTGGAAGAAAGTGCCCGAGATTTAAAAAGTGAATACATTTTGTCCAGACTGAGCTGGAACATCTACATGTTGCAGCTGGATTTCAGTTACTACAGGATACGAATCCCAGGTTCCGAACACTCACTTCTCTGTATACTTGGAGGTCCCTCTTTCTTCTGTTTCGCCCAGCTTTCTTTCTTTTTTTCTTCAATTTGATTTGTTTTGAGAGAGACACAGAGAGCTTGAGCAGGGGAGGGGCAGAGAGAGAGAGAGAGAGAGAGAGAGAGAGAGAGAGAATCCCAAGCAGGCTCCACACAGTCAGTGCTCAGAGCCTGAGGCAGGGGTTGAACCCACGAAAACGTGAGATCATGAACCTGAGCCGAGATGCGGATGCTTAACCGACTGAGCCACCCAGGCGCCCGCTCGTCTAGCTTTCTGAGTAATGTTTCCCTTGGAAAGGTTCTGCGCACACACGGGGGCTGGCGGGAGGAAGCGGCAGTCGAGGCTCTCATCTGGAGAGGCGGACAGAAGCCAGCGAGGTGAGGCAGCTGCTGCCACAGCTCCGGGACCACTGTCGTCTTCCCCTGGGACCGGGCCTTGTCAAGGGTCGGGAGGAAATCACAACCGAGCAAAGCTGCCTGGAGGCGGTGGCTGCACCAGCTGACAATTACCCAAAGAAATCACACGCACTGTTGCCTGTTGCGTTGCAACTGTCACTACGAGCTTATTCTAGGATGACGGAGGGACGGTGCCCAGGAGTTCAGGCTACCGACTGGCAGAGAAGGCTCAGACTGAGCTCAGTGCCAGGGACCCCACCAGGCGGCTGCGTGCCCACGGGGTCTGCCCTAAGCCCGTCACCGCCAGGGCGCTGCCCTCAGCCAGCTCGGATCCCCTGTGCGTCCAGGCCTGTGGACAGGCTTCCTGGACCCTACAATCCCCCCAGGGCTCCAAGCGGAATCTGGGGAGCCCTCGGAGCGGAGTGCCTTCATCAAGCCAGCTCAATGTTTATCTGGCGAAGACAATGGCTTCCAGATGTTAGCGGGACCGGGGGCCCGCGAGCCCGTGCTGCGATGGGGCTCATCTCTCTGTCACCGATAGGGAAGGATGGAAAGAATCTGGAGCTGCTACCCTGGCCAGATGGCTGCCGCTGGGCCTTTCACGGCAGATAAATCATCCCCTGGGGCCCCTCCCCCAGACGCCTGACAGCCAGGCCGGCCGAGGAGGCCGAGCGGGGAGGCCAGGGGCCTACAGGGCCCGAGAGCCGCAGAGCAGAGAGCTGGGACCGGACCGTGGAGCCTGGGTCAGGAAGCCCGGCAGGCAGTGATGGAGAGAGGGCACCAGCCCCAGCCAGCTGGGCGCCACCGCTGGGCGCTCGGGTCCTGAGAACCTTTTCCGAGAGAGCCCTTACTCTCCAGGGGGGTGTGCCGGAGCCTGGCATGGGTTCTGGGCTCCACACCAAAGCAGGGGGCTGGAGCCACAGCCGTCACGAACTCTCACCAAGGGCTTCCGGGTGCCTGTCCGGACAGCGCCCCCGTCTCACCGGGCAGGGGCTCTCAAAAACCCAGCCGTGCACAGGGGGAAACGGAGGCCCAGAGAGGTTAAGGACTGAGTTCGGGTCACGCGGCAGGCAGGTGGCAGGGCTGGGGTCCGAAGCCGGCATGCGGCCCTAAACCTCCACCGGGCTGCCCTCTCCGGGAAGAGTCCGGGATGAAGTCATCTCTGGGGCCGGCGCCTCCTGATCTGTTAACTGGAACCACCTGGTCAGAGCTCCCCTTCTCCCCTGCACCCCACACTTACTGCCTTAGAAGGTAGCTCGCCTTCCTCCTAGTTGAGAAATGTGCAGAATCTGGGCGATTTGCCACGTTTGTGCGGGCTGGGCCGGTGCGAACAGGGGCAGGGTCTGGGCCCCCAGAAGGGACTTCCCAGGGCCAGAGAAAGCTTCAGAATGAGGGGCTTTGCCCAGCAACTCCGGCCCACTCTGCCAGGGCTGGGCGGGGGTGGGGGGGCTCCGTGCCAGGGCAAGGGGGGCCTTGGACCTAGCTCAGCCGAGACCAGAAATGCACACCCCCAAGGGGCCATGATGCCTGCCTCCCCCGTCCACCGAAGGATGGCAAAAGCTCCGAACCGACCCCGCCAGGGGGAGAGGATCTTTCCCTTGCTTTAACGACCCTGGAATCCCACAGGGCCAACCCCACAACCGGAAGAAAGTAAAGGCTCAGAAGCACCGAGACCGGACCTGGATGGATTCTGTCTCTGCGCCCGGCACCTGAAGCTGTGCGCGGTGAGCGTAGCAGGTGCACGGTCAGCGAAGGGAAGAGAGATTACAGAACGTGTCGCTCCTGCCGCATGGGACGTACCTTGGGAAGGTGAAGGGGCTAACGACACAGGCAATAATTTAGGGACTCCCGCAACTTCTGAGGAGTCATTCTCTCAGCTGGAGCCCCCCCTGGCTTGGGCAAAGACACCGTTCCCTCTCCCGGGTGCCCCGGCCGCTTTCTCAGGCTTGCCGAATGTCTGGGCACATCTGGAA